TTGTTCCTAGTAGCTTCTTGTTCCTAGTAGTAAGGCCAGGAGCCCCTGGTAGCGTCTTGTTCCTAGCATTTAAGTGCATGTTCAAAGGTGGTGTTTCTGTGCACTGTCTTTGAGGCTTCATCCTTCAGCGAAGCTTCCAGACGAAGTGCCATTGGTGGGTTGACCCACTTCGTTGAGCACGCAGAGCAGTTCCCAAGATGAAGTGCGAACAGTTGACAAGATGCCGGTTGCGTTCGGACCAGGGGTTGAGACTAGGATGGCCATACAACTGTTAGAGACAAGGATCTTGGTGACAACACCAGAAAGGTGACCCCACCCACCATACACCGAACCTCATGACTGCTGTGTGGGCACATTTCCTGACAATGCCACACCAGTATATAGGTCATAGAAGGTCCAAAAGGCGCCTAACTTCAACGCAGAGTCACACCTCGGAGCGCTGACACTCCGGACTCTAGGAGAAGCCGCCAGGGCTTCAGCAGGACCGGACGGTCCTTGGTGCGAGTACGTTTGGCGCTTCCTCGTCGGTGCCCAGGATGCAGTCCACAGGCAACCTAAGCCTGCAAATGGATCATGCAGGCGAGGCCTCTTCACGTGATTGGGTTGCATGCGTGAATGGGATGTCTGAGAGGCAGCAACGGACAGAAAGAGTCCTGTAGGTGGCTTGCTGGAGCCGTTTGTCACCTGAGATCAATTTAGGCATATTTAGAGGGTTAGGGGGGACCACCGAACTCATTCTGACACTTTGAGAGTTCTTTGACAGCTTTTGGGCCTTATTGACCGGTATGCATCTGGCGCCACATGATCAAAGGGCATGGCTACTAGTAACCAAGGGCATCGCTACATGTGGTCCACGCCACGCCAGGCAAGTTTCAGTCCCAAGTCAGTGCGCTCTACCAGACTCTCAAAGGCAGCAGCAACGGCATGACGAAGGCTCCGCTCGGCTGGGAAGGACGAGCATGGTTTCTCGGTTTCTCCAGCCTTTTTTGGTTTCTGAGCCAGAACCTTGAGCCCTGTTTGAGGGAGGAAGGGCCTCCTTGTTAGTTTGATACGCATCACTCATCACTTGTATGATTTAACTCTATTTAGATTTAAGGGAGATATGAAGAAGATATCGCTGGCATGGCAATGGCCGTAGTTTTGACTGCGGCTGGGCCTGCGGGGGGTCTCCCATCGAAACTGTCGGAGCTTCTCCGTTGGGAGGATGAGCACGGTACTACTGGTGAGGTAAAAACCCCCTCGAACGCCGCAAGGCCCAAGTGGTTGGGAAGCAGATTGCCTTGGAGGCGCGGCGGGAAGCACCGAGCTGATCAGTTTCCATCCGTGAGCTTCCGAGCTTCAGGAATGTAGCATTAGGGAGTTAGGGAACGGGATGTCTATATTTTTCTGTATTTCCCACCTGTCAGGTGAGGCTTTTTAGATTTTATGTCAGCCGCCTTGCTCCTCGTCTCCTCTCCTCGTCTCTTCTCCTCCTCCTCCACCTCTCAACCGAGTGTCGGATGGCAGTGTTCCCTGCCGGACCTCAACCGCCAGCTCCGGACGGCAGTGCTCCCCGCCGGACCTCAACCGCGAGCTTCGGCTGGCAGTGTTCCCCGCCGGACCTCGACCACGAGTCAGAAGATATGCCAGATAGAACGCCAGAAAGAATGTCAGCAAGAATGTCAGAAGTGACGCCAGAAAGAATGTCAGAAGTGATGCCAGAAAGAATGCCAGAAGGTATAGAATGTCAGATTTATGCCAGAAAGAAGGTCAGAAATTGCGCAAGAGCAGTGACAGAAAAATGTCACAAGACATGCCTCAGACTGAAGTGTCGTGGTGGGGATCGCTCGAAAAAATGTTTTTCACGTTTTTGTTCGCCGTTACGCCAGATTGAGCACTGACAAAATTCCCGCGCATGTACGTTAGCAAGAGGCTGCCTTAAGTATATCTGAAAGGATCAAAGCCCGCAGAACTAATACGGGGCCAACCCTACGCCGATAGCCTTCTTGCATTTCTTGGCAAGGAAAAAGTTTAGAGAACGAATTAAAAAAACTGAGCGCATATAATATGCTAGTAGAAACTTCTTGTTACTAGTAGTAATGCCAGGAACTACTAGTAGCGTCCTTGTTACTAGAAGCGATGCACCTGGTTACTACAGTAGTAGTTTCTTGTTATTATGGGGCCAAATATCGCCAACCCAACTACATTTATTTGGCCAGGGAAGCATTCTCGAAACCACCCATCGCGCGCGAACGCTCGACCACTCCAAAAGAAATGTGGGAACACTTGGCTCTTGGCTGAAGGCATGGAGACTATTCTAGGAAAAACAATATTACGAAAGCCAGCCGATAGGCTAGGCTTGAGCTCTTAGAGCGAACGAAGGGAGGGGGGGCGCGAAAAGGCACCTTTTGAGAGGGTGAACCCGGAGCCTGGTGGGGGCGAGCGCTCCAAAGCGAGGGTCAGAAAAGCAGTGAAAATGGGGTCTGGTGATGCGAGTGATGCAATGGACGCCGAGTAGTGCATCATTAGCATCATGAAGGGGTCCGGAGAGAATTTTTCTAGTCCTGAGCAGGGCATAGGGACTGTGTAGCTCTGATCGTACGAAGAAGGACCAAGCAACAAAGAGTCAACGCTCTGGGAGCGAACGATGTGAGCGTGTCCAGTTGGGCGAGGTAGAGGCTTGGGGATAAGAGCGCCGCAAGAAGGGAAGCAAGAAAGCTGCAAGCGTTCAACGCTTCATGCTGCGCTCCGATCTTGATCTCAGTCGCAGTGATACCAGCTCCACGAAACTACAAGCTTTCAACTATAGGTGCTCTGCTATTTTTTCCCAGCCCTGCTCTCTATAGGGCTTCGCATTGATGCACGATACCCGAAACACATTTCAACACAATAACAAGAACCATTTCGGGCATCATTCTCCTGGTGTTCACTGACGTCTATTTTTGCACGGTTTCTCAAATAGAACACCAACAAGGGACGCTCCAGAAGGCGCCGCACCAAGCAAATCAATAATACTAAAAACATTCAACACTTCATGCTGTGCTCCGATCTTCATCTACGTCGCAGTGATACCAGCTCTACGAAAACACAACCATTCAAGAATGAGTGCTCTCCTCTTTTTTTCTCCCAGCTCTGCTCTTTATAGGGCTTCGCATTGATGCACGATGCCCGAAACACGTTTCAAAACAACCAAAAACCACCTTTCGGGCATCCTTCTCCTGGTCTTCACTGACGTTTATTTTTACACGGATTCTCAAGTAGACCACCAAACAGGGACGCTCCAGAGAGCACCGCGCCAGGAAAATCGAGAAAACCTAAAACATTCAACACTTCATTCATGTTGTGCTCCGATCTTGATCTACTCCACGTTGATACAAACTCCACGAAAGCTACAGGCATTCAACAATAAGTGCTCCGCTATTTTTTCCTCCCAGTCTTGCACTACCATATTGGTCTCTCGCTGGCTTTCGTCCTCTCCTTTCTCAGGTATATATATTTGTACAAATATTAATAAATATTATATATATATATGGTCGGTTTGGTGGTGGAATTTTTTTGACAGTCACCAACGGTGCGGCTTTCCAGATTTTGGGAGTAATTGTTTTGAGGCGAACCGGTTGCAAAAGCAGCTCCGTGGGCAGCTACACATGTTGGGCATCTACCGACGTCAAAGCGAAGCTGCACACAAGGTGGGTATTTCAGCCAAACCATGCCAAATCAACTCAACCCAAATTAGGTCCTGATTTGTAAGTTTGCCGCAACGTCCAATGCTTTGTCAACACTTCTCGAAAGCTGCAACTGGAGGCTTGTGCCCGGTGTCTTTGGTGTACAACTGTGCATGGGGGCACAACATGTGCATGCATCCTGCAACTGTAAAAGAAGATCACACTCTCGAGTGAGCATTCTAGACCTTTGTTGGATACATGCCACACAGATGGCCATACACGAATGCCAACTTACATGAGATGGCACATAGCATGGCGCAATAGCATGTCGTGGTGCTCACAGTGTGAGTGGTGCGGCACCACTCTGAGACGCAGGAGGCAATGTCTTGGAACACCAGTGATGTAGTGGTGACTTTGGATCACCTGTGGTGGAGGACATGGCGAAACACTTGGAAGTGTGAAGAGCTTGTTGAAGACTCAGTCACAGGTGACTGACAATCCCTCCTCTACTTTCTAGCGCACTTTCTGAATCCAGCGACTGTAACATTGCAAAGCAATTGACGTGCATGCATGGGTGCCACTCATTAGATACAATAGATTGAGATAGTTTTTTTCAAGACAATCTATGATGTGTGCTACTTCTATGTTGATAAATTAGAGGACTTGTTGCTTGTGCCGATCTGCATCATCAAGTGCTTTGGTCTATCAAGTGACCCACTGGAGGATTCGCGACCAGCTGGACAAGCACCTTGATGCAGCTTGACAAGCTGGAAGAAAGTGCTTGCAGATCAGATCATAGAGAGAGAGAGAGAGAGCAAGAGAGAAGAGATGAGATGAGATGAGATGAGATAAGATGAGGAGAGAGAGAGAGAGAGAGAACGATTAGTGGCCTGAGAAAGTCTCGCTGTTTGATTTTTTAGCATCCGTTCAAGGAGTCCCATGTCATGTCTTGTCCATCGACCTCACCAGAGTGCCACTGGATGTTCGATGCAGGCTGCGGAACAGGAGGTGGCGCGCTATCGCTCGGCCTTCGCCAGCTTGGAGGATGGATTGGAACCATGCTGGATCTGGCGAAGAGCTTCTGACATACTGTACTGTACATGTTCTTAGAATCGGCACACTAAGTCATCTACACGCTGAGGGAGGGAGTTCCGGTGCTGAATTTGTGTGGAATTACATGGGACGGCACCTTGACCACCATTGTTCCTTTCATGTCTACTGTAACAGGTAGTAGTACTCCTGACCTGGAGGAGAAGTCTGGAGGTATCCAAGTTTACTCGTCTCATCTCATCTCCCCACTTGCTCTTGATGAGTCATGCAAAGCCGACTGGTTCCGACAGATGCCTGTTGTTGATCGCATTTGTTGCATTCTGTGGTTTGTGCGGCTGTGCCCAGTCCCAAAGGTTTGTTTGTCTCAGAAGCTGTGAAGGCATGTTGCTTGAATGGGCAGGATTTCCAGAATTGCAAGTCCAGCTTCAGCGACTTGCTCTCGAGCTATGCGAAGAGCGCCTTCGGCTACAAATTCAAGGCCTTTGATGACTTCTGGTCTTGGGTCTTATGGAATGTGCACTTTCTATCACTTTCTATATTCTATCAATTCTATCAGTTTTGTTTGAGAAGAGGCAGAGACTTGAGTTTCTCCAAACGTTGTGTCGCTACGGTAATCACCTCATTACCTCATCAGCTCGGCTAATGAAGTGAGATAGGAGGTGTTTGGCAGAGCTTGGCAACTCTCGCACAAGCGCCTATGTTGCCACAAGGTATGTCAGTGATGACGAAGAATCATCACAAGCTTCATAAGCTGTGGCGGGAGGCCTCAAACTCGAGCCTTGCCTTGATTTGGGCCAAGTGATGGTGGGCAAGGCAGCTTCCTTCTGTGCTTCCAATGCTTTTTGGCACTCTTCTATTGCACGATGTCACAAGAGTATCCAAGGATCGGAGAGCTTGCCGCTGTCATCCAGGATGGCGATGTCTTCGGCCACCCGGCTGTGGTGTCGTGTGATTCTGTACACAACAGTCAGTCGGGTAAGTCGAACGGCAACAGCATATGTGGCAACCATTGATAACCCAATGGCGTCCATCCATGTCTCAACACATGGTTTCTCACATCTCAAGACCAGCACTTTCTCAGATATGAACGAGACATGCTGCAGTGAACGAGTCACCCTTTTGTGGATGTGAACGACCTGTTGTGAACGAGTCACGGATTACACAGCTGCTCAGGTAAGTTCATGAAAGAGGAAGGCTGCAAATCTGCCATGGCTTTGCAGACCTTGAAGCAGACCACCATAGCTGTCCAGGCTGTTTAAAAGAACATCTAAACACTGATCGAGTGGCTGAATGAAGCATAATTATCATATTTGAACACGAAGCCTTTGGCAGTGTGGGTTGTCACTTTCTGTTTCTGTAAGTTGAATGTGTCGTACAGTCTAGAAGCAGTTTCAACTACAAGAATTGCTTGGATGAATGCTGCGGAGGCATGACACTTTGGACATGCTTCCCTGGTTTGCTTAGGTTGCATTGTTTTTTTGAACCAAACCAAGACCCAATCTTGGATTCACTGGTATTTTTTGAGCCATAGATTTCCGTACCTATCCTGCATGAGTAGCTCGCTCAACAATTCACCCCACGGATTTGCCTCATCAGTGAGAGCATTCTTGTGATTTTTTAAAAATCAAACTGTGTTAGCTCCCACATAAATTACTGTATGAATGATGGATGACCATTTGCCAACTAAGCCATGCAATCAAAAGATGTAAGACATATGTGTACTTACAGTGTCGCAGTTTTTTTTCTTGGAGGCAACTTTTTGGCTGTCAGAACCCAAATAGCATCAAATAGCTAAATCGCACAGTCTGTTTTGAACCGATTACTGTATATATGTATATTACGCGTAGATATTACATATTATATATTATATAATGGTTTAACATGGCCGAATGCATATGAACAACTTGTAGGCCAAACAAATCCAGACCAATTAATAAACGGTATGCTAAAGTTCTGGGTCAAGGCTTAAAGCGCTGCTTTTGCAGGGGATGGGCTTCTTGCAGCATCGCTTCCACGTGGCCGGGCTGAAGCCGCCTCAACTGGACACCATCAAGACGGCAGCACCTTGGTGAATGGAAAGGTTGGACGCATCATCGAAAGGTTGGCCGCTCCCTTAAATATCACTATTCTGGGGTTGATTGCGCAGTTCTTACGCAGTCATTTTTACACAGACCTTGACACACCTGGTAGGTGTCACCACGGAATGATCATCGGCTGCCGCCTCCTGCCGCCGATACGACCAGGAATGAGATGGACCTAACACCCTGATGGTCCGACATAGTGGTGCACGGAACTGGGGCTCCGCTGCGGTAACAATCCTCCTGCGTAGCAGCATATGAGCGACTGACATAATCTTGGTTGACTTATTTAGAAAAACGGAAAAACGAAGTGACCCTGGCCCATGTCGATGGAATTGTTTCTGTGGAAAACGATATTCCGCATGATCGCCCTCAGTGATCTGCCCTGCCTTGTAAGCCAGCATCTGAAGAGATTCCTCAAACATATTAGCTTCTGAAACGACAATCTAAACGCTATAAATGAAAGAACATAACATAAATAATATACATGAATAAAGGAGGAAAGGAAAGAAGGAAGGACGGAAAGAAAGAAGGAAAGAAGTAAAGAACAAAAGAAGTAAAGAACAAAAGAAGGAAAGAAGGAAATAAGGAAGAAGGAAAGAAGGAAGGAAACAACGAAGAAGGAAAGAAGGAAAGAGGGAAAGAGGGGGGAAATAAGGAAAGAAGGACAGAAAGAAGGAAATAAATAAGGAAAGAAGTAAAGAAAGAAGGAAAGAAGGAAATAAGGAAGGAAGGAAGGACAGGAAGAAAGAAGGAAAGAAAGAAAGAGAGAGAAAGAAAGAAAGAAAGAAAGAAAGAAAGGAAGGAAGGAAGGAAGGGAGGAAAGAAAGAAAGAAAGAAAGAAAGCAAGAACGAAAGAACGAAAGAACGAAAGAAAGAAAAACAGAAAGAAAGAAAGAAAGACAGAAAGACAGAAGGACTGAAGGAAAGAAGGAAAGAAGGATAGAAAGAAAGAAGGACAGAAGGAAAGAAAGAAGGAAAGAAGGAAAGAGAGAAAGACAATAAGACAGCAAATTATCTGAAAGGTCGGTCCGACATGTGTTGGCCGCTGTTCTTGGGTGCTACGCTGTATAGTGCTAGGATTCGATCTTGACGCGCCCAAAACGCCCCCTCCAGCGCCACGAAATCTGAAGCTGCGCCTGCCACGAAATCATGTTTGCGACGTCAACGCGCAATCTTTGCTGCTATGATGATCTTCTATGCCGCAGCCGCAATCAGTACACCACAGAATCAGACAACGCGTAGCTGCCCATGCATCTCCAGGGTCTTCGGTGCGGCTAACACAGGACAACCTGCCCCTGCTTATGAAGCCGGGGTTCCTTCTGTTTTGATATTTAAGGTTTGTTTCTTTTTTGATCTTTAATCGTTGTTCTTTTGCTCCCCCACCCGCAAGGGACCTCATCGACCAAGGCATCCCAAGTGAAAGGAGCCTACAAAGGCGCCTTGAAGATCTGCAGGAAGTGATGAATTTGGGCAGTCCAGCGGGCTGTATGCTCGCGCTGGGTTTTCAATGCAGATTTGAAACAATAGATTGTTTCATTCCAAGACCTGCGATTGCTCGAACTTCAAAAGGTGGCTGTTTCCAGTGTGGGTAAGATATTGTGTATGTGTAGTTTGTCCAAAAAAAAGGGACGACTCCAGCTAAGTGGCTAAGTGGATCATCCATAGTACTGTAAGCAGGATTTAACTGTTGTGATTGAGACCAGCACATATTGACAAGAATGAACAGCATGTTTGCCGGAGGATCAGATGGGATTCAAACCCATCATTGTGAAGGAGTCTCCACTTAGACCGCCTGCAGAGACATGTTATTTGAGGCAAGAATAACACTCGCGGACCTTGTTCCCACCAAAGTATGCTTCTGGAAGAGCTTTGTTTGCTGCGTAGGGTTTGTGTTCTTCCTTTGCAGTTTGTAGTTGAAGCGACACATGGTGAGCCACTGTGGGCACAGGTAGGTACGTGGTGGTCACCTGAGTTTTCCAAGCTGGCAGTCAGCTGTCTTGTTTGAATTACTGTACATATATATATATACACGGTAAGATCCAGCAGTGCACCCAAGTGACACGGACAAGAGAGTGACGCAAATAAAATAGATTGCGACCCTGCTGTTTGTAGGAAGCAAGTATATAACAAGTGATTTGCACAAATAAGATGATTGGAAGCGCACGAAAATTACAATCATACGTTGCCTTCAACATGGTGTCACCAAAGAACACATATATACTGAGATCCTTGACAAATCAACAGCAGCTAGATGAGCACAAGATTAGAAGCGAATCAAAGTGAGACAGTGCTTATCAGATGGCCACACAAGCAAATCCGCGATGTCCGCACAGTTCGCTTGAACATGCTACAAACGCACCGGAATGACATTCAGAAGCGGATCACATTTTTGCGTTTGCAAGGACATGTCAACCTAAATGAACAATTTGGTGATTGTTTTTGTCCGAGCGAGCCAAGAGTTCAATTCTCCGCTTGTGCATTTGGGCTTAGGCCATTTGCTTAGACTAATCTTTGAGGCCAGACAAAGCCAGCAGGAAAAAACCGCAACTGAGTGGCTAGGGAGTCCAGAGAAGTAGAAATAAACAATCTGGAATCATCCGTTTTTTCCAGACCGTTTGCTCTTCCACCAGCCCCCAAATCATTGTCACAGACCCAGCTAGCGGATGCTTTCAAACGCGCTTGCCGCGCATAGTGCTTACCGTACTCTGAGAGAACTCGGGCACCCAGCCGCCATGGGCTATGGAGATGCGCGTGGTGAGTCCAGGCGAGCTGCGTTGGTCACTGCACACGAATCAGCTGGGTAGGCTTCGAGTTGTGTAGATTGCCTCAGGGAAACTGTGTAATATTATATGGAGGACTATATACATATAATCATATATATATATATGTATACATAGATAAAAACTAGGATGTATGGGTTAGAGAAACAACAGAGATCATGGACACTTCATTCCGGTGAGCCTGGTAGGCCTCGACCGAACTTAAGTCGAACATATTGGAACTAATGATCAGAGTTATTTTTTCACCTGCCAAACCGGCTGCAGTTATGGCTTCAATAGCCGTGGTGGCAAGGACCGGCAGGGAGACAGTAGAGATGAGCAAAACGACGCGAGGTAAGAGTTCTTTTCATTGCCAGCAGAGCTTAGCATTATTTTAAGAGTGAGGTTGGAGGATGCACAAGGCAGAAGCGGCATAGGACAAGAAAGAGTACAGAGTTTTTTGACCTTTTGGACTCTTGGCCACAAAAAAGCTTTTGCGATAATTTGAGAGAACCGCCAGGCTCCTGTGGTAGTAGCCTTTTCTCCCTGATGCATTGTAATTGTATCCGATCTGGTGCTTGAAGTCCCAACTCACAGGGTGGTGCAGTGAATGGCATGCCATCCTGACCTGTGTTGGAACGCAGACACAGATTGTCTCATTGCTGACGGAAGCAGCTCCTACCAATGGAGATAGATCAATGCACTAGTTGTTGCCAGACCTTTCCAAATGCTGAGTGTCACCACAATGATGGTACGGCTGTTCCTTGCTTGGCGGTCGCTGTTCAACTGCGCTCGGTTCATTTGGAATCTCCAATTCGGCCCTGCGCTCTCCTCGAAAAGCACATTAAAAGCTTGAACATTGACTGCTTCGAATCCTCATGGATGGTTCTGGTTCTGGGATACCAAGTGTCCAGGCTTTGTGCAGCACGGAGGGCAGTGTCAAGTTGTCAAGCCGCAGTCAGAACTTGCTCAACATGGACTTTTGAACCTTGGAGCTGAAACAGCCCGATCCCAGACACCTCCGGTGAACATGTTGGATGGAACAATGTCGTATCTTGCGCCAGGCACTCGAAGGGCTCAGGCGGGGAAGCTTGACCACTCAGGGCCACGATTGAATCCCGATAGGGTTTGTCGTGAGTCTGGAGTCTTTTGATATGTAAGATGAAGTGGATTCGGGCAGAGTTCGATTCAAAGTTCTGCATAGTTCTGCAAGGTCCACAGCCGGCCCATCCACGTTAAATGTTTTAAATGCTGTATTTGCTTGTGTTGCCAACCGAGCCAACGCTGCGTTGTGTTTGAGCCGACTGCCTTGAGCCAAACAATCCCAGGCCAAGTGGAACGCCGCAATCCAGCGAAGGCAGTTGTATCGGATAGCTTGCTTGTCCTTTATTGCTTTGCATTTGATTCAATCATATTCAATCTATTAACACTGAACAAGTAGTTCCTCCCTGTATTTGTTGATACCACCAGCATGTGTTATGTTATTTTCACTATATTTTCCGCAACATACTGGCATGTTTGTCAATTTGGAAGAGTTGCTGAACGAACAGGGTTGAGCATGTTGGAAACATTCATGAAGCTACAGACGTGGCCTTGACAGTTTTCCTTCCCGTTAGCCGTCGGCGTCGGCTATCAACTGCCGCCGTGGAGCGATTATTGACTATTGGAGTTCCCTTGGCATCCGTTGGCTGCTTTGCAGTTCGTGCCTGCCCGTGGTGGTGGCGAATGGGGTCTCACAGGCATGTTTCATAAATTTTGAAATGGTTCCCGAACAGGAGATCACTGTGCGTGGCGGTGATTTTTTGCGATTCACAACGATTCCTACCCACTTAGTAGTGTGAAATGTGACATCTCGATCTACCAAATTGTTGTTTGTGATCGCTGCCTCATCCTCAGTGATGCAAGCATGTGATTGGGTGATTTTGTTTCAGATCTTCAAAGAGCATCTGCCAGGCAAACGCATGAGGCAAGCCCAGCAAGCTGCCATCAAAGACGAAAAAACAAGAAGAGAGGCGCAGCGGGTGGTGTGGGGTTAGCTGCCGGGTTTGTTTTGGCAAGTCGACACAACTTGTGCCTTCATGCACTTCCTGTTTGCTGGATGTCACCGAACTTTGAGGTTGACTACTTCTGGCAACAGCAGGAGTATTTCAGCAGCGGTGTGCCGCCGACATGCTTGCAATGCGTCGGCCTGTTCTGTTTCAGCAGATGATGATAGATGTCTGAATTGGCCCCTTACATGGTGCCTAGTTTATGACCTTTCCTCCGGTCTCTTTACCACAAAGGTATATACACAAAGGGGGGTTCAGAGCAAATCAGAGGCTTTGGGATTGAAGATTGCAGAGTCTTGAAGTGTCCTCATCTCCCCTTATTGGCGGGCCGAACCGGACATGCGAGGGAAAAGGCCGCAAGGGCAAGGGCTTCCAGGAGCCTGGGAGAAAGCGAACGGGCTGGTTTCTCGGAACAATCCGTGAAGCTCATGACTCATGATGTTTAAATATGTTTAAATCTTTTCAATTGACTTTTTGTTTCCCCAGTGAAAGACCCCCACAATGTTTTGTTGTTGGAATGGAGTGTTGTGGTTTCAAGTTTCAAGTTTAGTCACTCCTGAGTGAGCATCTACTTTTGTTATGTTTTGTTCATTTGCCGGATGCATTCTTTGCAAGCAAGCTTAGCAGGACACTGAACGTTCTTTGTTTGGAGCACAGCGTGAGAACGTCGGCATAGATTTCGACAAGTGAGCCAGCTTCTATCAGCTTCAGTGCTTATATGTGCTTATGAACCACAAAGGATTGCAAAGCCCTGAAATAAGACATGGATGCTTGTTACTACTAGCTACTAGGAACAATGTTTGCTACTAGAAACAAGTGCATCGCTTCTAGGAACAAGTGCCTTACTAGTAGTAACAAGAAGCTAGTAGTAACCAGCATTTAAGTGAAGTCAACTTGCCTTTTTGGAGACCGGCTTCTGGACGTCCAGGTACGATGACATCCCCGTTGACCTTTCCGGAGACGGGGTCAGAGGGTCTTGTGGGGACAGAGCCTGGTGGCATGAGATGAACCATGAAACATCATGAAACATCATGAAACATGAAGCATGTATTTGTCTTGGAACGATATTCACGATGTTTCATGTGAACTGATTTGCTTTGAGCAGTCAATCACCTTACAGGTGAAATCGTTTGATTCAGGGACTTCACTTCAAACTATACATAGATTGTGATTGCGAGCAAGTTCTGAAACCTTTCAAACCTTCCAGCGGCTTAACTGTGGTGCAAGCTGTATGTACTGTATGGGCATCAGTCGAACGGCTTAATGAACCAAAGTGTCTGGCTTAACGAACCAGTCAAGCTTTTAAGCCCGCTAGCCAGGCTGAGAAGATTACTGCCCTTGAGAGCTTTGATGAGCTTTGGGTGTGGATCTTGGGACGGCAGACGTGTGAGAACGATTTGACCGCAAAAGCCAGATGGCAGACACTTTCAACTAGCTTTCAAACAGAGAGTGGAAAGATGTCGAACGCAGCGACATTGGCTTTTTGTTTTTTGTCTCCACTCCACAAAGGCTTTCAAAAGGAATCTGCCATTGGCGGGCCGTGTCGCTTCTTTGAAAGATCGAGCGATTTTCTTCGGGCTGCTTGCTACTTGCTGCTGCCCATTCAGAAAATGCATTCATGACCTCCCATCCCAGTGTTGCCCTCCCGCTTGTTTTTGTCGGGAACAGTCAGCCTTAAAGGGGTCCCAGTGTGCACCTCTACATGGGCAGGATCGTTACTACATACATGAGTTCCTCTGGGACAATCTTGAGCGCTGCCACTATAGCAGGCTGGGCTTATGAGTTGCCGAGATGGATAATGGATTCACAATACTGAATGATCTGAATGCCATTTGCCATTCAACAACATACAAGAACAGCCCAGCTTCATCAGACGCCTCTAGTAGCAAGTGCATCGCTACTAGTAACAAGGGCATTACTACTGGCAACAAGAAGCTACTAGTAACAAGTGCCCGGCTTCATCAGACGCCGAGCTTGGCCGACATTAGGCCCACCCCGATCCAGCGCTTTGCAATCCCGGTGGCGCTGGCTGGCAGTGACGCCATGTGCTGTGCGCAGACGGGATCAGGTGGGCCTTGCAGAAGCCCCGGCCGCGCGCTCTGAACGGGATCCAAAGTGTGCGATTGCGTATGAGTGTGAGACATCGAATTGACCGATATATACAACGATATACATAAATCTATAAATAAATAAATGTACATACAATTACTACGCATATATTACATATTACATGTACACACACATATATATATTTTACATTTCAGTTTAAGCGGAATGACAACAATACACAATCGTTCCTTCAGTTTGCTAGATGAGCGCTAACATTCAATGCAATCCATGAAAACCATATGCTTCAAAGCAATCGTTATTGCATTCATCGTCGGAGGATCTTTGGCTCCCAGTCTCCTTCCTCAGAAATAGCTTAGGGGGTGCTGCGACACATGAGCACACTGGAGCACTCAAGTGATGCACTTGTGGCAACATTTGCACTTCGACATCCATGCCATAAAGTTCTACCCTGCCGTAAATCTGAAGCCCGACCCTGACAAAGTGCCAGTCCTTCCATGAAGTCTGAAATTCAGAGCCCAAACTTTCGGGTAACTGCTAGGAAATTTGGTGTCGCTTTGCGGCCAGCTCCCACCAGCGCAAACTGCATGCAACTACATGACTACATCCCGCAAGTAGTTCCCTCTGTGGGAGCACAGGAAAGAGTGGGGATGGTAGCTCAGAACAATCTGCTCAAGAGATCAATGGTTACAACACAAGATGGCAAGACCTTGACATAGACTTACTGTAATTGACACGGCACGCAAGGAACGTATACATATTAGGAAGAAGACCTTGGCCACAGGTCTAACAATAAATTGAGGACTTGGTGCCAAGCCCCTACTGTAGGGGTCCTTCGATTGCATGTCAGTCCATGGGCCCATACGTCACTTTGTAATAAAGTTGAAGTTTAAACAACACGAGTAAGTGATAACAAGTGAATATGCAATAATGTGTAAAATACTGATGCTGAGTTGCGGAAAGGGACCCTGTGTACTGGGAGCCTTGCCAGGCAAGACGTGTGCATTTTTGCTGCCAATCATCAGCTCGCTGGACACCACGCAGGCGAAGCGGAGAAACTCCAACTCACACTCGACCTTACCTTCCGAATCGTCTCGAGAACTGGGAGAAGCGTAGACGATCTGAGACTCTGAGACGATCTGAGATTGAATATTGACAAGATCCTCCAGATCTTCCAGACCTCAGATCTTGTCTGGAGAGATCTAAGAGAGAAGAGTATTCTTTACAAATGATCTGACAAGATCCAGACCTCCAGAACCCTGAGAGGGTGACCTGCCCGTCGCCTTCCGTTGGCCTGTGCAATGGGACAGGCCTACAGCGTGATTGGCTCCACACCCGGTGAGATGTCAGCGCCACGGGTCATGACCCGAGAGAGGATTGTTCTGGGAAGGCTTTTTGGCCCGTGTTGATCCTCCCCTACAAAGGGAGTACTGAGAGTCAGAGAGGCATTATAAGTTACCAACTTTTTAGTAAGGGACCGGCGAAAGGCGAAAGAATAAGTGAAAGCAATGATATTGGCAGATGTTTATAAGGTTTTGGTAAGGTTTGCCGCAAGGATGTGCAGCTTTTAACGGTGCCGTAAGGTCACCGGAAGTTGAACTTGTTTACTTTCACGACGGCGGGGCCCAAAGATTTTAAAAAAACGTACCACATGTGACCACAGTGGACTTGCATACCTCCGCCATAAGTTAATAAGTGCAGCGTAAGAACAACCTTGCGTGCATATGTCGCCGAAAGCAACACATAGAAAAGATAAGACTTGCGTGAGGATTACCGCAAGGTTGGAATTCTCAGAAAGAAAAGACAACACAATTTTGAACACCGGACCGCTCATGTGTCTTTAGACAGTTGGGCATGCAATGTACACATATGTCTACGTATGTCAGACAAATTTGCGCATGACTTAAATCGCTTGATTGGACAACAACACCTCAAAAGACGTCAGTGAAGAAAAGGTGAGAGTCATCCGCAAACAGCCAGAGCATAGCAGAGCCCAGGCTGTGGTGCTGGCTCCCACCCGAGAACTTTGCTCCCAGATTCATTTGGAGGCACTGGGGCCAAGGGAATCTCCCAGGCATCCATCAAGTCGACTCTTCTCTACTCTAAGCACATCAATGTCGAATCAATCAAGCATGTGCTTTTGAGTCTAGAGTGCTGATGTAGTGGTTGGCCAAGAGAGTGCTACTGTGTTGGTTGCTTCTGATTCCACTTCAGGGAACGTTCAGTTTTCGTGTGCCTTGCTGCGTTGAGGTTAAGGTGTGAGGTTCAGTACAACTAGTTGTCACTGCAGTCAAATGTGGTGAAAGCTTTGGAGTGACTCCCACTCTGGCGGCGTCGAAGCAACGGATTTTTCAGTCAGGGCCACTCGTCAGAACATGCGCCCTCATGTTCGTCATGTTTCTTGGCCCCAGGCGAAGAAGCTTTCATTCCAATCTCCTGCACGCGATCCCACGTTTTGGCGATGGGAGAGACGGGGATCTGTGGCCGCGGCGGTGGACAGAATTGTAAGGATATGAAGGTCGTAGGACCGGTAGGAGACGGAGAGGCTATCCAATTTAAAAGCACATCCGCAATTGCACAAGTGGGGAGCGATGGGTTTTTGGTGGCTTTGTATCAAACATTTCATTCAAAAACTCGATCAGAACAGCTTGAATTTGGACAATTTGGAATGTTTCAACGTTCTACCCATGTTGTATGTATACTGGCGTCTATTCGCATAGGAGTGGTAAAGGTAAACACCTTTAGTCATGATTCAGACATAAACGCTTTTTTGCTATGTGCACAACTACTGTGTCAGGGGATCAATCTCGACTTACCTTTGGACATCTTGAATGTGATGCTTTTGGAAGGATGAGGCAAATGAGAGAGGAGTTGTAAAGGTGGAGGCAGCTGCAGGCAGTCAACTACCCTCTCAGCCAACCCAAAATAGGCTTCAATTCCGTCAGCCTCAGCAAAACTCACCACTTTGTCCGACTTTGTCCCTTTGTTTCGCACAACTTCTACAAGACCAGTGGTCCACTCCTAAGACATCGGATGGACGGATGGTCCACTCCGTATGCAGTTGACTGCTGGTGACTCCCTTCGATCTCTTCGATCCTCCAACAACCTGTGCGAAAGGGGTCCGGGGTGACCTCGGACGACCTGTGCGACCTGTGCGCCCTGCGCGACCTGTCTGCCCGACGGCCAGATCCGCGCTGGCGAAGTGTATGGTGGTGTAGATGCCTGGAACTCAGATGGGCCAAGACATTGTGAGTTCGGATGTATTTCGATGCACCCTCAAAGGCTGGCTCGGCTGGCTCTTCAACATTTTTGGACTAGCCAAACTTTGTTCTAAAGCCTGAGCAAGAGAGGCATTGTGATGAAAGGATGCATTAATGTATCCTTGTGATCCTTCATCATACCCTATCAATGGTCAGATTCTTTCATCCATTTCATCCTGAGAGTCGTTTCACAGGCGAAACCGCAGCTTTTGGACCTGGCACGAGGCCTGGAGCTGGCTGGGGTTGTTGGTGCTAAGTTGACAGCTGCTTTGGATGTGGTCAAAGCGGTCGGTTTATCCTCACACCAAACGGCTGGAGAATCCATGAGGTTGGATGGGCCCTCAAGATTTTCAGACCATAATCACTGCAGTGAAGAGGTTATTTTTTTTCCTGGTTTGTAAGTTTGTATGCTCACTTCGGTGCCTCTGACACAGACACATACAGAAACTAACGTCCTGGCCCTGTGGCTGCTTTCGTTGGCCTTTGCCAGCGAAGAAATACTTTTTGGCATGTGAGTCAGTGAGTCGATGGTGTTTTGGTGGCCAGGTGTTGACCTTGTGACGGCCACACCAGGACTGAGTGCGAAGGTTTTTGTTACCCCAATGGGCCAGAGGTTGAAGCTGGGTTGAGCATGGTTGAACTTGTCACTAAATTGACAAGCCAAGTCCTTTTCCACAGCCTCAGTGCCAATGAGTGCAGATCATTGTGGGCATACAGGTCAAATTTAGCATGCAGGACCAGAGTGACAAAACAGGTTTGTGATTGGCAGAGAATTGGTGGGGTCCGGCACTGTGGTTCCGCCACAAACCTTCACAGAATCAAGCTGTTTGTTCGGGCTTCCTCAAATCAGATTCGCTGTTGGATTCAACGCCAAGGCCAGATGGAACAACTGCGCTGGTGTTTGTTCCTTTTTGGCGAAATGTCTTGCTTTGAATTTCCTTGATGTTGCATATGCCTCTTCTTGAGGGTTGAAAGCGAGGGTCCCTCATTTCTTGCCGGGCACAGTAGGAGAACAACGGCACACGAGTGTGAGGACGTTTGACCGACTTCATCGATCGTGGAGTCATCACTATGGCCAATGTTGGGTTTCTGGTCTTGGACGAGGCAGCACTTACTTTGACTTCATTCACAGGTACAGTATGGGTGTATGGGGAGGGACAATGTAGAGAGCGTCCAAGGAGATGAAAGTAACAACATTTGCGACATGTTTGATTCAGTAGCAACACGGCTGAGAGGGATCACTAGTTGACCTCCCTGAGAATCCGTTTGACGGCCGTTTCACGTTTCACGGCCGTTGATCCCTTTTCTGCTAATCGCCTTCCGCCGACGGGGAGGCCGATCGCATGTTGGACATGGGCTTTGAGCCACAGATCCGAGAGATCGTGCAGAAGAGGGTCAGGGAGCCTCAGGGTGAACGGCCCCGACAGATGTCTCGTGCTGCCACCGAAGTTAGAGAATCATTGCGACAGATGAATACTGTTGATGAGTGAATGGGACGTAGCAAGCGGATAGTAACAAGATGTAACAACATGTAACAACTCACTGGCGCGACAGAAACCAGGAATGAACTAACCAATACTGTGAGTATATTGTGAGTATGCCTTTTTGTTTATGGAACACGATACACCTCATTCATTCAACCTTTCAAGTGACTGAAACTCTTCGTGAATACACACGCGCACGTTTCGGTTTTCATACATCTCCTTTGCATAATTTAAAGGACTCTACTTTCCAAGACATCCTTTCTTGAGTCCTCATAGGACACAGCTCACATACTAACACACACTATATATCTCTTACGCTCCAGAACCGAAGCTCTGGGGTAGTTGCACAGTGGCCACGTGCCCCACAGTAGTGTCTCGTCAATTGAATGGCGAGTCAAATGGCCGTCTCTCGCTGTTACTGTGTTTTGTGTAGCCGCACTTTGGTAGGTAGTCCTTGCTAATGGCTGCGATGGACATACTCCCATGATTAGCACAGCATCTTCAGAATATGCACATAGTCTCAACCGAGTCTGGGGCACACGTTCATGCTGTTGTAATGCTTCGTTAGCCACAACGAATACAGCTTTGCTTCGGATAACATTACACATCGTGAATTGAGTGATTTCTGTGCCAAGGATATGCCTTCTTCAAGGGAGGCTTGGAGAAGCTCCACAGTCACACTGTTGGAAGTTGCACGTGAAAGGATCTTGCATTTCATTTCTTTTGACAAGCCCCTTTGAAGCTGTTGGATCTTTTGGAGGTCTGTGCTGAGGCAGAACTTGAGACAAGAAGTGATTCTTTTGATCCTGTACGGGTATAGTACAGTTGGGATTTTCTTCAATTCTTGATAGGTCTAGATTCATGTGCAACTCACTCACCGGCAGGGGCGGATGACGCTGATGTTTTCCGCGACCTTTCCCAAAGAGATTCAAAAGCTGGCGCAAGCCTTCATGAGGCAGGGCGGCCCGCAATTTGTATTGGTTATTAGGTAATTCGTCAAGGCTTTGCTTTAGCTTCAACTCATTTCCTTTTCACAGCTTTCCGCCACTTTCTGAGTCTTCCAGGGGTTGTCCAATTACGGGAATTGGCCAAAAGGCGTTATTGGTCACCTCACTTTTTGACCTTGGCCTTTTAGGGCCAGCCAGACAAAGCCATTGGTTGAGTCATGCACGATTCTGCGCAGGAACTACATTTGGATTGGAGTAGGTCGAGTAGGCGGTGCCGTTGACACTGCAAGGACCTAAGTCAATTTCCGTCAGCTGGCGGGAGGAGTGAAAGGTAGGCACCTTCCTTCATGTTGGAATCTTCCGCTTCATCCTCATTAGGCTTTGATTAAAGCTTGACGACTTTCAAGACTTATATACATATTACATAAATAATTCATCATTGTAGAACACACGTGCGTGAGAGCGCGAGGTTGTTTCCTTAGGGTTTGAAGTTCAGCCATATTTCTTCCAAACACAAGAGAGGATGGCTTTCCTTACCTAACGGATTTCAAGTATCTGGAGAATTGTTGAGACGAGCTGGGCATTCTTGAAAATCGTCGTTCCCGTCCTCTGCAGGTTGAGCAGAGCTTTATTGTTGTTCCGGAAAGAGGCAAGGGGGATTTGTCAACGCTATGAGTGCAATTGAATTGTGGGGAGAGAATCTGCTATGTTGGTTCGGGTTTGAGCTGACAACATGAGTGGTATGGTAAGTCTAGGATCAAGGACCGTTTGTGAATCATCATTTCAGTTGGCTTCTTTACAGAGAATGTGCCGGTCATCGAGCTCTTTGAATTGAGCGAATGAGCCACGGCTTCACTGAACAGACAAAGTCCCTTGCGAAATCATTTGAACAAACGAATCATCAGACCTGACGCCGTGGGTTTCGCCGTGGGTTTCAAGTTTCAAGAGTCGGATCGAACACAGGAATCACAGGACACGAGCCTGAACAGTCAAACAACCGGAGAGTCGCCTTTTTGGAGTGTTAGATGAGGGCCAAGTTCTGCAGGCAAATTCGAAGCCCTCACGAAGGCGCACAAAACTCTTTGGCTTGAATTGCAGATGCAGGACTGATACACCTTTTCTGCGTTTCAGGTCAGGTCTCGCAGTCTTTTCATGTCTTTTCTATCTTGCTCACTCCTGTGAACTGCCTCTTTCACGAGGAGAAGGCCAGTGGCCTTGCTTCTGAGAGACATGATGTTGCCTGGGAGGTCCTGAACACCAACCCGACCGATTCCACCTTGATCTTTGTTGCCATGAAGCGCACGGCCGCCTGGCTGGAGGTGGCCTCCGTTAGCTTCAAACGAAGCTTCAAGAGGGCTTGCGTCACCTGATCCCTTGTATCATTTTGTATCCAAGTGGTGACACTTTCTTAAGTTTCCCTAAAACTGAAACTCTAGAAACCAAATCATTAGTGGAAGCGTGAGCTATCCTGCGTCCAGTTCCTAGTAGCTTGCTTGTGGGTACTACCTACCTACCTCGCTACTACTAGCTACCTCTACGGCCTACCCCCCCGGGCTTAAAACATAGAGTCTTTCGGAATTGGTTGCTACAGGTTTTCCTTGGCTTTGCAGCAACACCCGCCAGGACCGCCTCATGGGGCTTGGGTACAACTCGGTGGCCATCCACGGTGATATGGACAGGGATGACTTTGCGAATGCTGTGAACTTTGGGTTTGCGAATTTGTGAGTGCCGGTGAGCATGCACCTTGTTTTGGATCAGTAGCTTGACGGCTGCACATTTAGGAGCAGAAAGAAAGAGAAGCATCGCTTTCAACATTCAAAAGGTGCAATGGGTTTTCTGCGTGTATCTAAAGTGGGTACGGTATGATTAATACAAAGAAACAAAGAGCGTTACTCAAGGCTGAGCCAGCTTGCCAATGCATGTAGTTGTTGCCGTGGTCATTGAACTTGAGTGCATGCCTGACAATTCTTTGCGTATGCATTTCGAGTCCAACACAATTTTATTGGGTGACTGACTGTCAGTGTACACTGCAGCACACTGTACACGGTTTTAAAGGGAACGCTGAAGCCTCCAAGCTTGGCATCCTGCTCTTGGTAGTAACACTATTTTAGATCAGCAAAGTCAAGTGATGTTTGCCATCAAGAGAGACGGCTTTCATTGCGACTGGGACTGACTTGCAGTGGGAAGAGCACCTTCCTGGTGGCCACTGACGTCGCTGCACGGGGTTTGGATATCCCAAAGGCAGGAGGATATGGATGACCGACAGAAACTGCGGCAAGCTTGTATGATCTTGGATATGGACTTGATGGTATAGGTGGAGAGTACAGCACATTCTGGCACGTCACTCACTACGTCATGATATCTTCATTAATTTGATCATTTTTGGTCCAAATCAGAAGCACCTGGAGCCTGGCTTCGATCAAACAGGTGTCTCACGTGATCAACTACGACTTGCCGCACAATATCGATTCATATGTGCATCGGATTGGCAGCTGGCCGAGCTCCGAAGCGTTTTTCTATAGTGAAAGCCTGACAGCGATGGTTGCCTGAAAGCGATGGAAACCACCGGCGGCCATGGGGGTACTGATCTCTTTTTGAACATGTTTGGATGTTTAAAAGGTGTTTGTAGATCATTGATGAGATCAAAGCATGACATAGCACGACAGGTACATGAGGCTTTTGAGAATTGGCAAATTGGCAATTGATCAGAGATCAGCCTTTGGTGAAAAGCTGTGAGAACTTCAGGCCGAACTGGCCGTATTGGAAACCATGGCTGGGCCACGAGTTTCTACGCCGTGATCCACAGCCCTGCGTCGGTTTCACTGGTGGAGTCTTTTTCAAGCGTAGAGGAGTTGTTCATCGTTACAATATCCACTACCGATAAACAGCCAATCGATATGCACCTAATCCTTCCTGAAAGGCTCAACTAGTTTCTGGCTTTAAGATGCTTTAAGATAGCGCCACATGTGACACTATGAAGTAGTAGTAGTAGTAGCAGGAGGAGGAGGAGGAGGTAGTAGTAGTACTAGTAGTAGTAGTAGTAGTAGTAGTAGTAGTAGTAGTAGTAGTAGTAGAATGTAGTAGTAGAATGTAGTAGTAGAATGTAGTAGT